ACAAAGGAAAAATTTTAAGATGTTTCAGTATCTGTATTATCAGCGTTCCTACTAGAGCTTTACTCAATACCTGCACCCACCAGATACAATTTTTAAACGTATCTAAAAGGATGAGATGTACTTTAAATGCATAAGCGCTCTTACTGTACGTGCGCTCAGAAATTATTGCTCTATTTCCATAAAAATCAAGATAAGTACTCACTTATTCCAATAAGAGAATAAAGGAGAGAGGAGGGGGCTCCAAATGAGAGGGGGCGAAGACCGATGGCGCAAGAAATGGAGTTCTCATTCAAAATTGTAAAGCTATCAGCAACAATGAAAAAAGTAAACTATGGCAACTCAATCATTTGTCTCACTACAACCACGAGTACAGATGGAATATGGAGATGGATGGGAGAGAGGGCAGTAAATAAAAATTTAGAAGAAATTATTTGCTTTTTTTCCCCTTTAAATTAGATGATTTACACACAATAGAGGAAGAATGTTCGTAATGATAGATTATTTCACACCTTAGTTTCAGAGCCAAATCTAATTTTGCAAAGCACAACATTCCAAAATCTTTTTAGCTCTACCATATCCTTTTCAACAGTCAAATTTGGCAGTTGCCCAAGCACATTCCTACTTTTGTGTTTGCCATTAAAATCTTTCGGCTATGACATTTATAACATTATGTGATCTAAAACCGTTTCAATTTATTTGATAATTTCAAGGTAAAGCAGTAAAGTGAAGCTTGGCCTATTGAAATGGTGAAGTTTTCTTCTTTCTTTGTTCTCTTTCTTTATTGGCAAAATTTTCTCCTATGTAGCAGTGCGGGAAGGAAATGTTCAGCGATATAGCTAAGGGTATTTTATAGAAGCCTCAAGCCGTTGGATTTCCTTCCTCAGCATAGCTTCAAATTGTCGGAGAAATCAATATGAAAACCTGCAAGTTTCAAAAGTAGTTACATCGGTTAGGGTTTTCTTTAGTTGCCATAAGTATCTTTTTCCCAATAAGCATTAAGATTGTCTATTTCTTCATATTTTGGAGATTGTATAATTTGAAAAATTCGCTGTAGATGTGGTGATTTCGCTGACGTAATCGAACATATTTGAGTGAATGTTGATGAAGAAGAGAAGCACCACGTAGACAGACCTACAACTGAGAATAAAACA